ACTTAAGACATTCGATGTCTTTAAACCTTACTGGAGTATCACAAAATTCTCAACAAGCGAAACAAAATTAATGTCGAGCTAAACACGATAAAAGCCACAACAATTCACACGCCACGTTTATTTCGTTTCGCGAAGCGCTCTCGAATGAATGGTCCCCCGAAGCTGTTTGCGAGTCGTGCGCTGATTAGTTGAAATTTGAAGACCTGTCAAACAGAGATCAGCAGGTTATTCTCACGAGACTCATTTGCAATCGAAATATTTAGTAGGGCACTCTTTCCAATTAATAGTTTACTTGGTAAGAACAAAGACAAAAATGTAAGTCCTCGGCAATCATCGAAACTCACCCTTCTGTTCACCTGTCAGATGCAGTAACACTGAGAGAGTAAGAAATATCCAGATTAAGGGGGTTATTATGATTGAACTAGCAGTAAAATCTGAAATCAATGAGATTAGATATACAATGATGACACTGATTTATTGACCCGTTATATCCCCTGCCAGTTAATATACTGCTACTGTCTACTCACTCAGTTAACAAATCCACAGATTTCAAGGAAATGAAACCGGACTCATAGAAACTTTCTAGCTTACCGAAATCTAAGTTTGAATTTATGACTATCTATTAACTTTCGAATCGCAGTATTCAGAACTTCTAGTCTCACAACACAGACAATTCTCCGTTCAAAACTAAGAGATAACTGATAACATTTTAGTTGTCATGTAATGGAATAATAAATTGTTACTAATGTAAAAGTTATGCCTCTACCTTTGTTTGTATGCGATCCAGATGTTGAAAACTCCTCATTTCCGAACATCAAGTGTCACTTCATCTAACCTTAACTTTGACCACTTGTCTAGTTTCAATATGGCTTACTTAAAACAATTGTATATAGCTCTACACGAATAACCTTTAAAGAATTTGTTGTGTGTTGTTGTTGGAAACTTCTCATTTCGCAAGATGAGCATTCACCGCTTTGTCAATGGAACTCCACCTTTCCATTCGAATCGACAAGGCGATAACTTCATCTAAATCATCTTACATGTAGGAAACGTTGTTGAAAACATCTCATCCTGCAACAACGACATACTACCTCAGTTCACATTTTAAGTCCCCTTTAGTAAATAAGGTTTTTCAACGATTAGCTATATTTCGAAATCTCTCACATAAAAGCTATCATTCATTTTGCTAAAACATCATCTGACACGTACAATCTAAGGTAAGCAAAATTTCAATGTATTCTTATATCATTCTGTTGTTGAAAACTTCTAGTTTCCAAACATCAGCCGTAAACCACTACCATTCATAACCTAGTTATAGCTTAATGTTTCCCCATGAAAACTTCTCATTTATGAACATCAGACGAAGAACAAAATCTATTCTAACTAGAAGTTTAAACTCTTGCTTAATTTGATGAGGGCAGGATTAAGTTTTCATAGATCGCCTATAACATTATCTTTTTCTTCTACTTAAAATTATCAGTAATATTGACTGCTCTTGTACAAATAATAATGATAAAAAGAAAAACAAAAATGTTCCTCTAATTCAGATTTCCTAGCTTAAAATGTTGGCATCATAAAATAAGCTTTATAGTTTACTATTGTTAGAAACATCTCGTTTCGCAGGAAAGCTTTGACTACCAATGCACCTTCTACATGTATTAAGTTCGTAAGTGACTACGTAATATGTCAACATATACAAAGAAACTTTCCTGAAGTTTATATCAAAGTTGTTGAAAACATCTGGTTCCGCAACAACAATGTACGACTTCGGGGCATACTTCAACTTACTTTCGACATTTCTATTTTGATCCAAAATAAATTTTCAGCTTAATCGCGAAAACAGTCTCGTCCAGCCATATTTGATAACCAGCTTTTTACTGTTGACTCAAGCAAATTTCAAACCGAGTACCTAAACAAAAAAGTGTATAGCAAAGGACGATTGCTTCATATATTTGTCATCATTCTACTGTTGAAAACTTCTCGTTCCCGAACATCAGTAAAAAAGAAAACAAATTCTATTCTAGCAATAGCTTGTCCAGCTGCAATTCTAACCACCAGCTGAGTTCGGCCATGGCTGGAGCAGTTGTTTAAACATTGCCTCTCAGTCTTAAAGTACTATTTCTATTCTAACTTGGCTGCACATTCACAGCTTCTCCAAAAATTAAAAAAGCGTCTACTGGTTTAGACTTCCTAACGCACGCTGCTGATTATGGTACAAAAATACTTTCCGAGCCTCTTGTTAATCATCTCGTTTCGAAGCATCAAGATTAATCACCTTTCCACCTTTCGATTATTTCGAACCGGTGACTACGTTGTTTTGAGTCAATTCCTCAGACAAAATATGTACAATTTCATATCAACGTTGTTGAAAACGTCTAGTTTCCGAACATCAGTTAATAAACAATTAACACTCGTCATCTAATAAGATAATGGCGTAATGTTTTTCTTTCCCTGATAATTTGTTTTTGAAAGCATCTCGCCTCGCTACAAAAAATGACAGAACCCAGTTTTTGTTCCTCAGTTCAGTTTTAGTGACTACCAGTATATTAACTTGACTGTGACTGCAAAGAGACCTTTGAAAGTTTGGTCTCACAGTAGTAATATAATGGAGATTTTTGCATCAGCCGAAACACAGATAAAAATTTGAAAAAAGTACCGTTAACTTCTTTTTCGAAACGTACAGACTGAAACAAGATCTACTTGTTCCCTAAATAGTAATAGTAATCATCATAGTGCACAGTACAGTAATATATTCTGATTTTATGAGAAGCTCACTCCCATGCCGGCTCTTGTTCTTTTGCTTCTTGACATCGTTGGTCTTCTCGCGGTTTGGTTTCTTGCAGGCTGCTTCCTCTCCTCAGAGATCTGTTTGTAATCAATACAAAAGCTATTCCTTGCATAAAAGGATCTTTTTTTCTTGCAACGACAGAACTAAAATAAAGCTGTTTTACGTTTTGTCAGGAGCTCAAGACAAATAAAAGTCAGAGTCCTAATGATGAATCAAAATTATGCACTCCAACACTTTAACAGACCGCTTTTAAAATCTTGATAGTTGATTTCCATTAATTTAGTGAAGAACTAGAATTCAAACGATTTAAGAAAATCGTGTGGCCTGATCGTCCGGCCGAGTAAAGCCCTGAAAACGACTGTTAGCTGTTGTAGTAACATGCTGTTCTGTTTTTTTTTTTTTTTCTAACGAGGAGAAAACAATTAAAAAGGTTCGCATGCGAAGATGGGATTGGAAGCAGAGCATTTTGTTGATGTACAAATCAATTTGTTGCTTCTGCTTTTGAGTCGATAGTTTTGGAGGCCTGCTCCTAGCACAATTAAGAGAGCATGTCCGTACTGACAACCTTGAACGGAAGTCAGAGTCGAGAGCCTCGATAAACATAAGAGGCCACCACTATGGTAAAAAAGTTCTTTTTAGGGCTACTATTACTCAGACGATTAGACTACACAATCGATATTACCCTTAGGTATCAGTTACTGATACAAATTGTCAAGGCTAGATTTGATCAGTTTTTTCATTCAGGATGTTTTGAATCAAACCATCGTCCTGTTATCATTTGAGCCGTTGTATTCAAATTTCAACGAGAATGGTGGACGAAATACCTATCAGAGGTTTCCCGGTGGGATCTTCAAAACAAAAAATTAACAAGAAGCTTTTCCTGTTTTCCTCCAGCTGGGAGGAGCACCAACTCCCTCGGTACAATAAACTCGTGAGTGAATAAAAAAGTGCTCCTATGCTTTCAGTATCTACTGGCTTTCAAAAGCCGATACTAAAAATAAAATTCTATTTTTCCCTCTCTCCAGTGTTTATTAAAGCCTGACGTTATGTTGTATATTTCGCTATAATTTTCTTAAAAAAACAGAGAGAGATGAACTCTTTCCGGGAGTCCCACGTTCGCTAAATTAACAAAAAAATGCGGTACTCAACAAACGAAAACTAACCTCAAGCTGGTTTTGGTATAGGTTCAACACCGCATGGATTTGGCCAAGTGTGAGGACTTCTGGGACTACACTCTTAATGGCGTCTTTCCACTGTTCTGCACTAAGCCCTTTTCTCTCCGTCATGATCTCCATTGGCCATAGAGATTGCTCGAGCATGTGCTCAAGTAAAGGAAGTCCAGGGTCTGGTCTCATTTCCTCAGATGACAAATACCGAAAAATGAAACGTTTAAGAGCTGTTATAACCGATGTAAGGGGAATATTATCGGGTCCTACAATGCAGTTTCCAGCAATGCCTTTCATCTGATCTCGTATATCGCTGAGAAACTCCTTGCGATACATGTCGTGAATACCTTCTGTGGCCGAATCCGCCAGCAAATCCTCAAGAAACTCATAAAGTGATACGACGTGCGTGAGCAACACATCCTTATGGGGCTCGGGAAGGAGTGACTTCGGGAACGGTCTTGATTCAGCCAACCATCTGTCTGTAAATTCAACCAGTGGCTCACTGGGGTTTCCAAACTGATGTTTCTTCAAAAGACAGAGGACAATTTCCATATGCCCGAGAAGGTTTTGTACGCCTTTCAAGCTTCGGCTCTTTAAAGTTCGAAGGCCACCCTGAACCTGTTCTGTCAGCGGTTGTTGTGGTACTATTTGTTCCAGCTCATCCAGGATACCCTTGCAAGCATGAAAAAGCTCCTTCGCAAACATAAACTCGCGTAGACCATCTTCAGTTGATAGGTAGCACTTCCCCAACAGGAATCGAACGGCCAATTCCTTCTCGATCCTTCCGATGTCATAAACGATTTCTTTACCTTGACCATACTCGGTGTTGTGTTGGGAATGTGTCAGGATTTCGTTCGACCATTGATAATGAATGATTTGTTTCTTTTGTGCATCTTGAAGATGCACCATCTGAACAGACGCTATACCTTCTCCTCGCTCCAAGAATGTTAGCGCACCACATTTTCCAGAAGCAGCTATGGAAAGTACATTTACAACGAAGTCGTTCTGAATTCCTTGTAGAATTTTCAAGGCGCTGCATAAATATTTTCCATCACCTTTTTTTTCCACCAAACTCAGAGAAATTGGGCTCATTCTGGTAATGTGTGGCATATCAGCATCCCCGGCCTTTATAACAGATGGACGAATCTTCTCCCACGATGTTTGAAAACTCTTGAAAGCGTTCTCCAAGACCTCTCTTTCCATGTCATCGCCCATCAGCTCTTCAATTAGCGTTTTAGACGCCTCTATTCGGCTTTTCCTTCTACTTAGCTGCGTGTCGACCATTCTTGTCCACTTAAGAAGGTTGTTGAGGTGTGTAACTAGTTCAAGTGAGCCATGAAAATCTAAAAACAACCCAACAAGTGGATGAGACTCTCTTAAATTCTCCTCTGCATGCATGTAATAAGAGCGCAAGCTGTCGAAGCTTTTTGTGCTGGTCACACGAAACAAGCGGGGAACATGTGATCTTCTCTCTGTTTTATCCTTAAACTGGGGCTTGTCGCATTCCTCGATCTGTTTTTCCAGTCGAGACAAAGAATCAGGGTCGTGAGGGTTAGTTATCCTCCTCTTCATACCAAACTCGGAGACAAGAGGTCTAATTGTTTCTGAAAACTCTTTTTCCCATAAGCGTCTCTTTCCCTCGGTCAGGCAGTGATTCGCATCGGAGACATTGGGTGTCACCTTTTCTATAACACGATGTAAGAGCTGTATGACCTCCTCTTCCTTGCAGTTAAATAGCTCGGACAAGACGGCAAGATCCTTGATTATGTGCTGGTAAAATTCTTTAACAACACACCCTCCCTCGCCGTTGTCTACCGCAGTGCTTCCGAGCAAAGACTCAGCATTCCACAATCCGAGGGCTAGACCTCCATACAATGCCGCATGTAAAAGCAGATGTAGTATACGAAAATCAGTAGGATTCAGGTCCCTAACGCAACTAGAAACGTCTTCTGTTGGTGGGAGGAAGGTGTAACCCATTGTTGCTGAACAAATCTTGCTTTTGCGTCTGTCTGGATCCTGTTCAACTTTAGAATGGTCTGACTGTTTACACTCCGGGCAACCGATAGAATCTTCAGATCTCTCTGTCACTTCATTCAAGGCAAAAAATGTGCCACAGGGGCATAAATGAAGAGATTTTTTCGCTTGAAATGAACTGTAACACTGGGAAATTCCAAACGGAGAATGTGGATTGTTGGCTGCACCTAAGATAAACGTCTCCTTAACCCTTCTTGGGTTCACAAGGTAGGATATGAATGCCACAAATTCACTTTTCGTCCCAATATAATTCGAAACCAACACCATGCAGAGATGGAGTATTAATGCCGCTCGATGTACATCTGCCGATGAAGAGGTCGGTGAAATACAAAGTTCTTGAGCTTGGAAATCCTTCTTTCCGGTAACGCGCTGGAGAAGTTCAACATAGGGTCGCGGCAGACCACTTATGCCATTGTTAACACATTCCATTGCTTTTTCTTCAGACTCGCCTAGATTACGAACAGACCGTTCTAGATAGATCCATCTAGTTAAGGTGGCCGCAAGCTCAATCTTTTGGTTAGCGGACGTATGTAAAGAGCTAAGTACACGGTGCATTGGCTCTTGGTTTGGATTTTCATCCTGTGTTAAACAAGCCAAGGCTTTTTTGGCCAACGAGTTTTGTGTAATGCTACTGAGAGGGTCGAAACTTAGTTTGCAAACAAAAATCTGATCATCTGTGTGGCACTTTAAAGCTTGTACTGCTGGTAAATTTTTACCTTCCCGAATAATTTTTTTCACGGCATGAAGTGACATTTCCTTTCGAAGCTCTCGAAGAAAGAACAGGCGTAACTGTGATGTTCTGACAGCCGCAAACTGATTTTCGTTCGAGGAAAGAACTGACTGTACCTCTCTGACAAGCATGGTAAATTGACTGTCACTCTTCAGAACTGTAGGATTTTTAACTGTAAGTCTAGCAAAAGAGCCAAGAAAAGATCTCAAGTAAGCTGTGGCGCAAACCACCAGAAGTACATTTTTTTCTTCTTCTTTGGAAGGTTTGGTTAAAATCTCTGTCGACCTTCGTAAGGTCCCGATGCATTTGCTCTCTGATCCAGATGTACTGGCTAAGTCGATTGAAGGGAAACCAATTTCTGAGATAAGGTCACAGCATAATACAACGAAGGGGCAATCAAGTTCTGTTTCTGTTGTAAGGGATGAAAGAGCAGAATGTACGTCTTGAAGACCAGGATGATCATCCAATACCAAAGGATCGATCAACACCTCTTCAAATACGCTTGCTCCTCGTTCTTCCCGGCAGATACGATCTTCATCCTTGAAAATTTTATTAATCACAGGAGCAGCTACCTTTATGAGGGTCGTGTCCTTGCTGGAAGATATTCTGCCCAGTATACACTTACGCACAGGAGTATCTAGGTTGGACTCAATGCAGCGGGTGTAAAAGATGGCTCGGAACCCTTTCAAGTTGTCTAAATTCTTTTGGTTTTTTTCAAGTTGGTCAATTTGATTGTTGATCAAATTAAAGCAATCTTGGGACTCTAAATATCCCTCAGACGCATGGCCGTGACCACTTTCTCCGATCATGTACAGACTGTAATAGGACTCCTCAGAATCTTCCGGTATCATCAACGAAACGAAGTCATAACAGACTCTGAGGAAGTGGAACGCAGGAACTGCCTGTTGCATTCTGCTCACCATTGACAAAATGAGACTAACCGATCGCTGCCATTTTCGCAGACCTTGAGACGTTTTGACAACAGTGTCTGTTGGAAACAAAGCCCTGCAAAAGGTTTCCACTAGGATCTCAAAAAACTTCGGCGATTTATCCTCAGCGTGGTCTTCACTTTGGAATTCCCTTCCAGGGTTTTCCTTGCTTTCACTCTGCGGAAGAGAGCTCGATACAGAAATGGGATATGTCTCTTCTGGGGTCTTAAACATCATCTTGTCGAAGAGCTTCACAAACTGAGGAGATAAAAGCTCTATTTCTACAGGCACAACATCTCGACATTTGACCGACAGCTGAAAGGCGGACATTAACAGGGACTCTTTCATCCAGAAGACGCAATGCAAGTGAGTGATGAGACGTGCAAAATTTCGTTCTGATGGTATTCTTATATGTTCGGCCACCACCTGTTTAGAAAGATTAATTCGATTTGCACGCGATAAAATTCCAGCAAAACTAGCTGTCTTCAAGTCAAGGAAGTCATCAACGTAACAGTGAGAAATTCTTTGGAGATATTCGTTGTTAAATAGCTGCTTGACTGATCTCTGAATTTCTGGTTCAAATCTTTGAAGCTGCGCATCAAACACGTCATACTTTAGTTCATTATTGTCGTTAATGTTAGCTTCATCTAATTGGACACGTTGAAGATCCTCTAAAAACAATGACTTCATTTTGTCCACTCGTCGTATGAATACGGAAGAAAAAGGAAATTCTAGCTTGTGACGATAGCCTGGCACAAGGTACGACTCCGCTCCTTGCGATTCAGGTATGTCCTCAATTCGTAGGATTTCCTCGTTAAGCAGCAACTCAGTCCACACATACAGATAGTCACCGATGGCTTCATCGCTCAAAAGCACATCTTTTGGCCACGCAGATTCTTTTTCCAAGAAGTACACAATCTTCGCAAGTGGTTTTTGAACGAGGTAAATGAAATGATGTTTTATCGCCTCGACCAAAGTGGAGGAATTTATCAAAGCAAGACGATCGCTCGCCACCTTAACCAGCCAAGAAGAAGTCGCAAGGAGATCATGACCACTAGAAGATTCATCTTTTTCCAGCAGTCTGAGGACAATCTTTTTAAAGCACTCCATTATCACAGAAGATGATTTCAGCCAGTTTACGAGCTCTCGAACAACATGCAGTTTGGGCTCGTACATCGATGAATACTTGATGCGCGTAAAGCACCACCAGAGCTGATCATTGGCAATTTCCTCGAAAGGAAATGATTGTGTGCAAAGAAGATCTGTCACTTGTGCTTCTAATAGTTCTGTAATTGGTTGCATTGGCTCTTCTAAGGTGTCAATTGCCACTTGTTCCCAACCACTCTGGAAACTAAACTGCCACTGCGGACAATCCGTTTCTCTGGCTTTGCTTAAACGCTGGACGTGGACGACCAGGCAAACATGTTTTGTAGGGCTGTCAGTTTTGGCATCTTTGGAAGAAAGGTATGTGTTTCTCTGGTTCTCGATAAGATGCTTGGCCACCAGCATGTGGGGAGCATCGAGATCTGGTTTACATTGTAACACAAGAATGTTGCAATCTGATGCCCAAAACTTCTGCAACTGCTTTGCAAGCTGTTTCTCAGACTTATAAGAGCTGAGCTTCTCTGCTTGGCAAGTTCCAAGACAGGTTAGAGACTGCAAGATATTCGTATGAATATTGCTATGGGTCATTACGAGGAGCTTCACGCCTCTACTCCTTTCGTCCTCTTTTTCAAGCCTAGTTTGGAGATCCCCGAGAACGTGATTGAGATAACACCTGAGACCACTGTGAATTGGCTTCTCGAAATAATTCTTAAAAAGGAAGTCCACCTCTTCCATTTTCTTTCTGGACAATTCAGATTTTAAGCTACGCAATACACCATCTGGTGTGGCAATCCACATCAGCTTCTCTTTGCACTTTTCTACAAGGTTGTGCCTTGTCATTTCTCTATTCTTGCTCATGTGAAGGACCAAAGATGGCAAAGTATCTTTATTAAAACCCATAAACATGTCTGACTCGTTGAACTGAGACTCAAGCTCGGGAACAGTTGAAATTTCTTTTGCCCAGTTCTCAAGGCATGAGATGACCTCCATTTGGTCTTCATTCAGTACATCTGAAAAGCGTAGCAATTGCTTCTCAAATCGATTCAGAAAAGGAGGATCGGTGTAGTCAATCCGTTGCTCATCGACAAGGACAATACATCGGAATTCGTCATGGACTTGGCACATCGAGTTGCTGAAAGGACCAAGAGCAATTCTGCAGTTCTTTTTCTGTCCAACCACCGTGTAGTTCTGATTAAGCATATCATAAAGGCTACCATAAATGCTTTCCAGGTCACGCAAAATCAATACACAATTTCTCTCCATGCAGAGAATTATGCGACTTAGGATGTTATAGTTATACTCTTCTGATTGGTCCTCTACAAACCGACTTCCAAAGATTGTAACTTTCTCTCTTTTTAATTTTCCTAAAGTTTGGTCAAGAATGCCAATAGCAGAGTCTCCATTTGTTATTATCATCATGTGACGAGCAAACCTGTCGTGTAGGTTGTCACAGATAAGCTCCGTGACCGGAAAGCACTGGATCTCCTCCATTACTTTCTTTGACTGAAAATGCTTCAGAAATAAATGTTGTATCCTGTACGAGTCTGCTGGAAGCCCTCCAAAGTTTCTCTGTAGGGCACGTTGGGTCTTTGTTGTCTGGTTTTCTTCGTATTGATGGCCAAGATTCCCATCATGATCAGAACTTAATGATTTCACTAAAGAATAGTAGTCTCGAAGTCCATGGAAATTTTCATGCCTTTGGTCTTTCTGATACTCTTGGTAGGCCGTAGCAAGGCATCGAAGCTGATAGTCTTCTGGGTAGGGGTCTGATGTAATGGCTGTTTGCACGGAAGGCATGAACGTAGTATCTCTTTTCTGCGCTTGAGCTTCCCTAATCGATTGACCTGTTTGGAATAAGTCATCGATATCGGGTTCAGGCCGGGACAGGTGAACGGCACGGTTCATCTTTGCAGGGTCAAGGCACCAGTTAGAGATACCCACAACAGCAACATCGGGAGGCTTCTCTTCAGAAGGTTCTAAGAGACTGTGCAGTACTTTTAGAGGATTAAACGGTGACACCTCAGCCAAACCAATCTCGTCTAAAAGAACAACTGGAAGGATATCATTGGACCCCTCAACCTTGTATCTTCTGGCTTTCTCAAAAACTTTAAGAATTCCTTCGGAGGTTGATGACTCAGAACCTTGATGGGAAACGATATAAAGTTGTGGTAGCTGCTTTAAGAAGGGGTCCTTAGAGTCTTTTCCTCTCAAGTTACTTCGAATTACTTGCATAGAAAGGGATTTGCTGCAACCTGGCTTGCCCACAACAAACACCGGGATACGATTTAAAATACAAACAAGAATAACAAAGACATTTTCTCTTAAGGCAGCATTTTTTGCGGTGCCGTCAGGAAGTTCCATTCGCGACAGGTAATCTTCCTGCTCCTCCCTGACAATTGCTTGAAAGCCTTCGTCTGGAAAGTGCGCCTTTCTTTTCTTGATAAGCCTTGACATCTCTTTGCAAAACGAGTCTCTTTCCCTTCCTGTCTGAAAACGAGATTGGTAACTGTGAGCTAAGGCCAGCACAATAGATCGAATCTTGAGTGAAATCTTGACTGATCTAACAGCTTGGGATGGAATGCTGTTGGAGGACAGTTGTCGACGCTGAAGTTGAATCTCATGAAACCACCGCATGAGGACAATACAACGATGAACATCTCTCAAACTTACACAAAATGGAGTCTTTTCCACTTTCCGGACGTAGGTTTGGGCTGCAAAGAGAACGTCGATTAGGAGTTCACGATGTCTGTTATTGTAGACACCCTCCACCATTCTCGCAATGTATGCTTTCTCGTCCTCTGGGCTGATCGAGCCATAATCCCACACATAGTCTATCATGGTCTCTGGAAGTGGGTTAACACGGTACACCAACCTGGAGTATTCATCTGTGGATACTTTCTCACTTAGACCTGAGGTTAAAATCGTCCCATGTCGGAGTCGATACGGGTTACACGCTGATAGAAACACCAGATTAGACGGAAGAGGTTTTCCTCTTATGGTGCGGTGGCAAATCATCTCATTGATTTTTCCAAGGTGGTCGCACGTGTTAATCTCATCCAGAAACACCCAAAATGACCGCTTCCTCATTTCTGCAGACAACGCATCTTTCGTCACCTCTTGTATGAAATGAATTATTTGATCTTCTGTAATGCCAGCGTGTAAATTGAAAACACGAAAAGGTACATCACAAGTTTTTGCCAGGTATCTCACAAGGCTTGTCTTTCCGCATCCAGTTTCTCCCATTAAAATAACCGGAATATTTGCTCTGATGCGAAGCAAAATAAGGATCATTTTGAGGACGTTGTCTGGTGTCAATGCGTATTTCGAAGAGGGATCATCGTGACTCAGTGTTGTGACTGATTCTTTTGCGAAATGTTCCAGCTTCTCTTGCAATTTCCTTTGGCTTAAACAGTGATAATCTACCAATTTCATACCTTGGATTTCACAAAGGGATGTGACGCTGGGAGGAACCAACTCTAATTGCCGATAGAAGGCAGAGATTGTCAGCTCCTGCTGCGTTTGAAAGAGTAAGAGTAAATGATTGTTGTCTGCCCACCGAATCATGCCCTCTACTCGACTGACCATTTTCTCAGCAGTCTTAAAAGGAGAAAGCTGTGTCTGCCTAAGCATGTCTGAAGCTTGCTTGTCTGAGATAGCCTCTGCTTGAACAGATTTACAATTGAAAACTGAACGAGCTGCAAAGTCTCTTGAAACTCGAAGGAGAGCTCTGAAAAAGCGTGTTCGTACATCGTGAGATCCTCCAAACGCAGCTTTTAAATTGCTTGGCTTCAGGAAAGGACTGGCTGAAAATTTCAGTAGCTGGTCAGCAAATACTCGAAGAAAGGTTTCCACGTTGTTGTATGAGATTTCCCCAGCCGACGGAAAGTGCTTCCTTAGGAGGAGTCGGCACCTCTCAGGAGTCAGCGGCTTTACCTTATTTGGCCCACTGAAAGTAAGTTCGTTGCTCTCCAAAACTCCAATATCGTGAACGTGAAGGTAGTTGCAAACCACCTGAATTGGACTCGAGGATTCCTGACTGACCAGATAACGTTTGTATTCATCAAATTTGATATAGATAGGTTTAAAACACTTCGTAACTGGAAGCGAGTCTCGTAACCAGTCAGTCAAAGTATTCGCAATTTCAATGTACACGTGCTTGGTAGGGAGATGGTAAATGACTGTTCCCGAAGAAACCATTCCCACGACAATTAGCTCAAATAGGAATGTATCAAGGGCAATTGGATCATCCACCTCACCAATGTCCAAATGAATGCAGTCACGCTCTTTGATTCTCAAACTTGCAAGTTGATTGATGAGATTTCTGCGAGATAGCGGTCCACTTATGGGAACTGTTACAACGCCTTTCTCCCATCGGCTCGCATCAGCAAAAATATATTCCGTTTTTCCCAGTCCTGGGAGTTCTGAGGTTACTACAAAAACTTGAGGTAATGTTTCCTTGAATTTCTCTCTTAGCTTGACATGTGTCATACCTGTGACATTATGAATACCTGCTGCAAATTGATCTACAATGTGGTGATGGGACCCTCCACGACAAACAAGGCTGAGGAGATATTTGGAGTTAGAAAGACTTTGAAAATGTTTTATTGCTGTCACCAACTTGAATTGCATGTCATTGGGCAGGCTTTCGACATTTGCTAGGCAGTGCAAAGTGGTTCTTTGTGTGTGTTTGTAGCTTCCAAATGACCGGCGTAAAAGACGAAGTATTTCTTCCCAGCTTGTGTCTGGATGACAAAAAATAACCTCACTTGGCTGTGGATAAGCTCCCTTCATCCACTCAAAGAGGGACACTACCACATGAACAGTTTGAGTGCTCCTTTGCTCTAGTACGGAAACAAACAATTCGCCAGGTTTCACCACCCCATGGAGGCACTGCTTTGGTACTTCGGGAGTCTCGTGCGTTGTAACTTGGAGGAAGAAATAATCAAAAGCTTGACCAAGAGCTTGTAGGTCTCCCTCAATCCCTCTCTTGGTTGTGTTGCTATAATGAGAAGAAATTTTGTCAAGCGCCTCTGATGACAGAGAGGGCTGAATGAAGCGGAGGAGATCATGTACTTTACGTCTCCCAGACATTTGATTATCATCCAATTCACGGGCTCTAGCAAAGAAATCATGAAGAACCCACAGCTGATCAGGGTGAAAGAAATTTAAGAAAAAATACTTGTTGTACATATCCCTCAGTAGCTCGCTCCACTCTTCTAACTTATGCGTTAAGTTTCTAGCTTCGTCTTCAATTTTAAGACTTGAGTCAAGTTTAACCCAGAAATCCTTGTAATCTGGATGGCCGGAGACATGAAGCTCATCTGCCAAACTCAATATCTCCATGACTCGGTCGACCTGCCCCACGAACTCTTTTAGTTCAGCTGCAGAACATTCCGCGTAGAATTTTAACCGAGTCTCTGCATTTTGATGTTTAGAGTCAATGTTGACAAGAAGAAGTGCGCGACTTCGTAAATCTTGAAGGTCTGATAGTCTGTAAGTTGTATCTTGGTCACTTTTTGGATCTTGCTTGCTACCCACTTCTTGATCTTGATTTCCTCCTTCCAGATTCGGCTCTAAATCTCGGGGATATTTTATTTCTTTCTTGTAGGCCAACAACACTTCCCATGTACTATCATCATTTCGTCGGAGCTGGTAACTCCCTCCTCTGAGAGCATTCCTTATAATTTCCTTTGTCATCTCTCCTCTATTGGCTACATTTGTGTAAAAGGCCCTTAAACTGTGAACATTGCGACTGCATTCATCTATTTTCGCGGCCATTCCTTGTTTTCCTTGAAGACTGTCATGGCAGGTTTTCAGACGGCATAAAAACGCCATGGGATCAGGGGGCTTGTCCTTCACAATGCTCCTCAAAAATCGATGAACATCAATCAAGTGTGAAACTGTACTCTCTGAGACAAAATGGTCAGAGTATTCTTCTACAACATCGATCAGCACCACCATATCTTCGGAGACTGTCTCTTCTATGAATGAAATTAGCTCACGAGATTCTCCAAGGACAAGTGCAATGTCAGTCAAATCTTTGTCCATGTTGTCATCAACTTCCATCACGGTTTCATTTTCCATAGAATTACATAGATCCTTCAGAGTTATTTGTTTCATATGGAGAGGTACACAAAACTCCTCAAGAGACTGCTTTACCGGTGGAGGAAAACAAGTTTCGTCATATCCAAAAACCTTCAGTATCTCTCCCAATCTTTTGGTCTTTTTTTGCACAACTGGATACTTCAAGTAGCTGATAAGCATCTTTTGCATTGCAGGAACTACAGGCCGTCTGAAGTACTTGCTAATGAATGATAGTTCTTCAAGGAGGGCGTCAGAACTTTTTATCTCGTTCAGAAGGATATGCACGTCTCCAATTTCAAGATCACTGTTCTTAGAAAACAATGGGTTGCAAGCTTTCTGTAGCCTTTCGATACCTTTGTTACTCAACAACTCCATGACCTGACTGGCCGGGATAGAGTCTGAGTTGACTCTAAATTCCCCATTTTCATCTGTGAGAGAGGCACGTGCAATGCTGAAAAAAAATTTACTACAGTGTAGCTTATTGAGAACCTCTGCCGACTCAACAAGAGTTGATAGTGGGCCCCAATAACTGCTATCCAATACTTCCTTTAAGGATTTTTGGGAGAATTCCTTTCGAGTGTTTATTTCTTGACTAAGTTCGGGAGCATCTGATACCTCTGCAATGCCATCCACCACCTTAAGTACAAACTGAATGGATTTTTTCATCTTCCAAAACTTTACCTGAAAGTTTCGCGCCTTTTCCCAAACTGCATGAATTCTCTCCCTCCAAGGCGTCTCATCAACCTCTTGCTGGGGATTTCTTCCCGAGGAATCGAAGAAGGTGCAAAATTGCGCTAGTGTGGTGACATCTGCCTCTTTTAGCTCCAGAAGGAATCCCACCCGACTTTTGTGCGTAAGAATGGCAGTTTCGAAGTCATGTAACGCCGTTAGTGCTGTCTTGATCTTTCCATAGTTGCGAAGCTCACTGCAGGGTTGCAATGTTCGAAGCAAGAACAACCATACATCTTTCACTTCCACCATCCTTTTCATGACCTCTTCAATAGGAAATGGATTTCTTTGATTCGGAGGCAGTTCTACCAACTCTAGAAGGAAGATGAGTAGTTCCCATCTTGCCCTACATTAAAGAGATGAAGTTTACACGTTAAACTGCCTACGTGTATTGGTTTCAGGCATACTTCCACGATATCTTTTATCACTAGATCGATGCTAATTAAAGCTGGTCAGCAGTGCACACACACGTGGGCGTCAAATCGAAAAATTTTTACGCGAAGGGTCAATTTGACACAACTTCACAAAGCATAATTTCAAAATCATTTGTCAAGCTCAACTTATACTCCCTTTGGGAAGACTGGATCTCAGACATCCGAGTCAGGACCTCATCTTTTGCATCTATTGTAACTGGCCGTCTTCAGGACGCTATTTCACCCGAAGAATAGAGATATTTCGCAGTGTTTTCGGTGTTATCTACATAGTGCGTCCTGTTCGGAGCCAAGTTTGACATGATGAGCTCGCCGTAACTTCGTTCTTTCGAGTTTTATGCTTTTGAGTTGCTAAATGTTTACGGTTGCGCTTATACTGAGGAAGGTTGGCCTTATCATAACTCGTTATTTGAAAACTTCCTATTTATTGAGCTGTTGTTCTGAGTTTTGATTATTGACGATTGCCTCCTCTTCCACTAGCCAGGTCGCTTTTGTTTCAACGTTCGACAATATTTTCGATCGAAATCGACTTAATGCTGAGATCCCACGTTTTCGCACCTGTCAACCGTTCCTCGTTTTTGGGAAATGCTAGGTTGCGCCACTCAATGGTTAGTAAACATCAAGATGCGTTGGGGGTTTGAATAAACGCACATGGTGAAATTTGGGTATTCTGCTTAGTATCATCCTTCCCCCCTCTTCCACTCATCGGTGATGCTGGAGAAGTTTCATCTATTACTCAGAAAGCGTTATTTCAGATTGCATTAGTTTAGAGGAAGTTTTTGGAAAGGCTCAAAGGTAATTGCTGAAACTTACCCCACAAATGCCAAGTCTTGTTGTAGGCTCCTTTCCGCATTTACGTCAAGGAGATTGAGTAAAGTTTTGACGAGGGATCCATCAGTGCTGGTGCCACTTCTTTTGGTAGCATTTCTCAATAGCGATGAATAGCAAGACTGCATGATTTGCGAAGATTTTTCAATGTCGTCGAATACGTCGATGATAGATTTTACGTTCACCTCTTGGAGAAAGTTAATCGAACATTCTTCCAGTACCGCCTGCATTTCCTGGTCTTCTTGTAGCGAATATGTTTCACAGATCTTTCTCTCTATTTCTAAGATTCGTAAAATTTTTTCTTGTGGCCTTGGTTTTGAGTAAAGGCCTTGAAATTGAAACATCGATTTCAACAAGGAATTGCAGATGTCGCGCTTTTCGTCCTTCTTCCAGGTACGCCAAGTTTCATAGAACTCTTTAGAATTCAAGATGACCATAAGGGCCGAGAAGACATCGCCATTCCTTTTTTGTGCCAGAGAGCGAACGAGATGTCGGAAACCGTTAGAGGAACAAATGTTCTTGTCAGTGGCATAGCTCTTCAGCATGGCAACCTTTTCGCTGTCCAGTCTGTCTTCTTTTATCTGTACAGTCAAGGCCTCTACAAACCGGTCGGCTAGTCTACCTCGCATTTCTGCTGGTGTCATTTTCCAGTAATTACGTTGGAGGAGGTCAGTTTTCTCTCTAGTAATTTGGGGAGAGATTAATTTACAAAACCTTCGCGAGAATTTCTCACAGAAGGTATTTGCGACTTCTGGTAAGTTGCTTGATAATTGAAGATAAAAATGCCATAGACAGTAAATGAAATCACAGTGTTCTATCACATATTCACATATCTTCGTGCAGTTGTTCTTGGGCAAGTTTAGGACGAGAAGCCCGATTAGCTGGTTGAAGTCCTCTTCTGAGTATGACGCGGGAGGTAGATTCATGGCATTACGAAGTAACAAATCAACTTCAAACAAATTGGCAAAGTAGCTGAGGAACGATAACCATCCTTTCCTAGAACTAGCATGAACAAGGAGTTTGGCAATTGATTTAATCATCTCCACGTTGTACGGGGGGATGTACTGGTAATGGGAATTAAATAGGAGAACCAGTAGTTTGTCAGCAATCTTTCCTTGAATTCGATCAAAAATGCCAAATTGATCTTTCAATTTCTCTACCAATTGCCCAATTATGGAGCAAATGTAGGCCGCCTCATACCACTTTGTGCTTGTATTAGTTACTCGTTCAATCCACTTAAATAACTTGGAATAATCTGAACTGGAAATCCTCGAAAAGACCACAGGAAGATTTCGACATTCCTCGAGTATCGATAGAAAGTCAACTCCATCTTTGCCATTTCTGTACAGCATCTCAACGAAAAAAAGATAACCTTCAAAAGTTCGATTTTCAGCATGTACGTTTGATGGAAAACGGAAAATCTCGTAACGATGCGAACCAGCCACAGATTTCCGGAATGACTCTTCAGTGACCACTTCGCAGGAATTTTCTTCCTTTCTAGCCAACCAGTTAAAAACTCTTGTCAACATACTCCTCTTAAATGCAGCCATATAGCGATAACGGAAGCTCTGCTCGCCAAAACAAAAAGCTCTATTAATCCAGTGACGTTTACATCCGCTGGCAGGTGATGCTTGATCCAAATGCATCTTGTGATCATCTGCTGTGATGACCGCTACAGATTCTGCGTCAACGCTGGTGTATACTTCGAAGACTATTGAATGCTGTAGAAAGATTATAAGAAAATACATTATCAGGGTGAGGGTATTAAAAAGTGAGGAATGCAGTGATGTCAAAAAGAGTTTCAAGTCGTCACAGCAGATTGGTAATTAGTGGATAGGGGAGCTGGGAAGGTTCAAATGCTGTTGCAGTCAACAAAAGATGTCTCGATTGGTCCCATTAAGTGATCAGTGAAAAGGTCAATGAGTTCAGGATTTCCTTTTCCTTTAAAGTGTTGTGTCAATTCTGTTATCCCTAAGGGGTTACGACCTGCACTGGAGCATATCCTGGTTTGAATAGCATGAGGCACCTTGATATCGCGTCAGGCTTCCTTGGAAAATGGCCAGTACCCTACTATACTCATCCTTAGAATAAAGCATTGCCTTAACTTTTTTTGTTGGTTCTACTTTGGTTTTCGCAGCCTTGCCGAAATTTGAAGCGATTTTCGTTTTCCAAGCCACAGCGGTTTTTTGTTTTGACCCCTTGTTATTCTTTCAGTGTCGAGAATCTCTTCACTGGTTGCTGTTAAGTTTGCAATATATTCGTCTATAATACTTTTTAATCTGTTCGTTGCAATGTCATAATTGTCAGTAAAGGGTACTTTCTCAGGACCGTGTTGTCTATTATATGAGGCTGATTGAACGCCGATGCCTCCGCATTTAGATCTGATGTCGTGGAAGAGAAAGAAGGAAATTGAGGGCAAACAGTTTTGAAGCTGGTCTGGTCACGGGTTCTCGTGTCTATGGCCCTTGGATCAAACTGTTTTACTTTGGGCTGGGTTCCTATATTCATTTTACCGAATCGAATCTTTCTGATCAATACTGTGTCGATTGGTTTCGCTGCCACACTTTAATTGTGCTGTACCACCCACACCGAGAGCCACGACGTGCAGGTTAATTGCTCTGGATTACTTTGGAACCCTCTCCTTCTAAAGTCCGCAATAGTAAATAGCACTCTTCCGATGCGTTTGCTTTCTCATTATCATCGAAGACTGAGGCCAGCAGGGAACGTACACGCTGCGCGTAACACACTACAGTTTATAGGTGAACTCGAGGATAACTGTGAAAGGCGTTTTCTTCATCGAGGGAAGAACATTTGCCCTCACATAAGTTTGTTTTTAAAAACCTTTACTCTGAAGTTTTTTCACGTTTTCTTCAAAGAAGAACTGATAGGATTTCAGCTTTTGGTAATGTGTTCCTTTCAACACGATGTTGCAATATTTGCGTGTGGAAACAACGAGGAAATCGTTCAAAGTGTTTGCATAACTTGATATGTGGTCACCCAAGCGTAAATTGTCGGCAAAACTTTAGAAGCAAAAAATGTCCACTTCGCTTTTACGAGAATGTGCCTTCTTGGAATGAATTAATAGTGTATGTAAGCTTAACGGATTGCCTTAAAATTTGGTCCGAGGACTTCCAAGATACCAACCTAAAAAGTCGTATGGGAGAATACCATTTCTCA